TTGCAGCACTATTTACAATAGCCAGGACATGGAAACAACCTAAATGTCCATCGACAGACGAATGGATAAAGAAGATGTGGCATGTATATACAATGGAATATTACTCAGCCATAAAAAGGAACGAAAATGGGTTATTTGTAGTGAGGTGGATGGACCCAGAGTCTGTCATACAGAGTGAAGTAAGTCAGAAAGAGAAAAACAAATACCGTATGCTAACACATATATATGGAATCTAGAAAAATGGTACTGATTAACCTAGTGGTAGGGCAGGAATAAAGATGCAGACGTTGAGAACAGATTGAGGACCCAGGGGGGAAGGGGAAGCTGGGATGCAGTCAGCGAGTAGCACTGACATACATACACTACCAAATGTAAAATGGATGGCTGGTGCGAAGCTGCTGCACAGCTCATGGAGATCAGCTCGGTGCTTTGTAATGACCTAGAGGGGTGGGATAGGGAGGGTGGGAGGGAGACGCAAGGGGGAGGGGATATGGGGATATGTGTGTGCATATAGCTGATTCACTTTGTTATACAGCAGAAACTAACACAACATTGTGAAGCAATTATACCCCAGTAAAGATTTATTAAAAAATGTATTAAAAAAAAAAAAAGGAACTGATAAAGAATGATTTCCATGTCTATTTCTCGGTGACAAAGTGAGGTACAGAATTTTACAGAATGCTACTTTCTGTGAAAAAGGAGAACAGAAGAATATATGTACACATATCTGCCAATATTTGCAAAAAGAAATACTGAAGGATAAATCAAAAACTAATTTTTAAAAACTAGCTATCGGGACTTCCCTGGTTGGCACAGTGGTTAAGAATCCACCTGCCAATGCAGGGGACACGGCTTCAATCCCTGGTCTGGGAAGATCCCACATGCCGCAGGGCAACTAAGCCCGTGTGCCACAACTACTAAGCCTGTGCCCTAGGGCCCGCATGCCACAACTACTGAAGCCCACGTGCTCTAGGGTCCACATGCCACAACTACTGAGTCCGCGTGCTGCAACCACTGAAGCCTGCGCGCCTAGAGCCCTTGCTCCACAACAAGAGAAGCCACTGCGATGAGAAGCCTGCGCACCACAATGAATAGCAGCCCCCGCTCGCCGCAACTAGAGAAAGCCCGTGCACAGCAATGAAGACCCAACGCAGCCAAAAATTTAAAAATAAGTAAAAACTAGCTATCAACAATGGAGGGAAAGAAAGTGTGCAGGAGACAGGGAGGGAATGAGACTTCTCGGGGATACATGTGTTACAAAGTTTTCACTTTGAAAACGTAAATTTTATACATTCAAAAAAGATAATCAAACAGGAAAGCAATTCTTTCAGGAAGTGTAGACAAAGAAACATATCTGCCTACAATTAAACTGGTGATCATACCACACAAAGAGAGACTCATCTCAGGCACCTTCAGAACATGCTCTTCTGACTGCACATCCTCAGTGGAATGTGGGGAAACAGAGATGGTAGGAAATCTTAAATTCCATACAGTATTCTGCCAACAGTAATACTGGTATTACATTAAAACTTTTATACACAGAATAGTGTAAATAAGTAAGTAATAAATACTGTTCGGAACCAAGATTTTCAGTGTAAGAGAAAATATTCAAGCATTTAAAAGAAGTAAAAATCCTTAAAGGTTAAATCTGATTGGGCTGGAAAACCACAAGTGATGAGGTTTATAAATGTAATTGGCCACCGGCTCCGACAGTGCGGACACAGAGCAGCCTCACGAAATGGGAGCAGAAGGACAGCAGGTGAAGAAAAGGTTTTCACTGTCTGTGGTGCACACTCGGCAAAAAACTCTGAGGAAAAGTGAGAAAGTGCTTGTGGTCACAGCTGGGGCAGTGGCTACTCCCGGGGGTGTGGATGGGGTGGGGGTGCTGGCTGTGAGGCCATCAGGAAGGCAGTGGGGACAGCTGGCAGACCCACTCTCCTGACCTGGGTGGATGCCCACCTCACCCCTAGTTGCACCCGCCCGTGTGTTTTATACATTTGTGTCACGTTTAACAACAAGAAGTTTAAATTAAAAATTGCGATTGGAATTATCAGTATGATAATAATCAGAACTGTTGATTTTTCTTTTCAAAAATATGGATTTCCTAGCCCTGTCTACTAAAAAGGTAAACAGTCTGAGCATCACTAAGAGGGAGAGAATCTGAAATCACGCCTCCTGATGGGATGCAACACATAGCAAAGCCCCCTGCCCACCCCACCCCCCATGGAGGATTCTGGCCAGAACAGTTAGACCCAAATCCAGTCATGCCCCTGCAGTGACTTCCAGTGATGGGGAGCCCAGGGCGGGGGACAGCAGAACAAACCCAGAACGGGAGACGTTCTGGGGGACAACCAACTCGGTTTCCACAAAAAGACAGGAGCATCAGAAAGGACGCAGGGGGTCCTGGGCTGCTCTAAATTAAGAAGCTTAAAAGACCTTATAACCAAACATGCGTTTGGGTCCTAATTTGAACAAATCAACTGTAAAAGACATTTCTGAGATAATCATAAAAGTATGACTGCAGAATGGGTAGTAGAGCCCATAAGGAATCACCATAAATTTTATAAGATATAAAATGGGACCACGGTTACGAGAGAAAGGTCCAGGGCGTTTTAGAGATGTGGACTCCAAATATACACATGGGTGATTTGTACACGGAAATTCGATATACCATTTTCTCAACTTTAAAACGTCTCAAAATTTTCCTTATGTAGCCCATGTTGTGAAGTATCACTGCTCTACAAGACCTCCATTAAAAGTCACAGATGAGGGCTTCCCTGGTGGCACAGTGGTTGAGAGTCCGCCTGCCGATGCAAGGGACACGGCTTCGTGGCCCGGTCCGGGAAGATCCCACATGCCGCGGAGCAGCTGGGCCTGTGAAGCATGGCCGCTGAGCCTGTGCGTCCAGAGCCTGTGCTCCACGGTGGGAGGGGCCGCGACAGTGGAAGGCCCACATACCGCAAAAAAAACCCAAAAAGTCACGGATGTGACAATCTGCTTTTGTTACAGATCTAACCACTACCATAACACAGGTTCTACAAGAAAACCATACTACAGGTTCTAAAAAAAATTACTTATGATCAAAGTTTATGCAAAAACTCACACAGTAGGTACAGATTATTTGTACATAAAAATTACTCTCCTACTTCACTCCCTAGGGTACTGGTTTTAGAGGTTAAAAAAAGCCATGCTTATCTCTACACTAGGAGTCAGCAAACTGCAACCAGGGGCCAAATCCAGACCCGCGTCCGCTGCTGTCAATAAAGTTTTATTGGGACGTGGCCCACCGTTTGTTAACAGATGGCCCACAGCTCTCTTTGCTGTGGTGGCAGAGTTGAGAAGACGCAGCAGAAACTGCAGGCCTGCAAAGCCTCAGATATTTACCGTCTGGCCCTTGACAGAAAGAGATGGCAGCACTCTGCTCTAAGTCATCTCTGGAAACCCCACTGGGTGACCCAGGTGCCACCAAGGGTGCAGCCAAAGAAAAAGGCTTACAGTTCTAAGCGCTGACACATTAGCTGTTACACACAGCGAGGCCCAGGTGAAGCAAAGCTGCTGGGGAAGCATGCAGCTGACTTCAAATTCCAGAAACATTCTTATGGCCAAACAGGCCTGTCTTAGAGAGGCATGGAAGACAAGTGCCAGAGAGGGTTCAGAGAAAAGTGCAATAAAAATGCAAGGTCATCAGTCTCACACAGGAAGCTTTTGCTGCCATGACAGGTCATACAGCATATTCATCTGCAATTTCTCCCTTTAAGCGCTGACACACTCTTCCTCAAGAATGTGAAGAGAAATGCTATTTGCTAACTTGTTTACCATCTATCTCTCGTCCTAGAACTCAGGCTCTGTGAGGGGAGGAATTTCTCCGGCCCACTATCACACCCCAGGGCCTAGACACGCACTTGGAACACATCAGACACTCAACAGATATTCAACTATGAGCATCAGGGTTCTGTGTTACCACCACTTACCAACTCTGAGACTGTGGACACCACTTACTAGAAAGGACCACTGCCCCCCATCTCCCCCAGCCCAGGCCCCAAGCCGTGAGCAGCAAAGCTGAGATTCCGCGGCTCCCAGTGTTCTCACCTCTGAGAGAACACGCACTACAGCACTTGGACTAAATCCTCCTACTGTACAAAACCTCACACATTTGGGAGACGGCTAAGGAAAAAAGAGTATTTATAGGGGCTTCCCTGGCGATCTGGTGGTTAAGATTTCCAATGCAGGGTTCAATCCCTGGTCAGGGAACTAAGATCCTGCAAGCCATGCAGCACAGCCAAAAGGAAAAAAAAAAAAAAGAATATTTACAGTCTCTTTTACGTGTAAGTTTTATGTTTCAGGCTTAAGAATCTTTGCTTCAGGGAAAGACAGACGAAGTAGTAACCATTAGCTCAAATTTCTGTTCTAGTTTCAACCCAACAGCGTTGAAAAAACTGAACAGCTTATCCTCTAGACCCTGAAAGGCAGAAAAGACGTGGAAATGAGGGGGTGGGGGAGGGGGCTGGTCTGTGAGGGGTAAAGAGGGAGGGCTGACACTTTCCTGCTTCTCACCAGTGACAAGGACAGGTGCCTGAACACGCGCTCTCCCTGGCAGGACACATTCTGTCCAAGTCTGGAGTCCACCAGTCCAAAAGGGACCAGGGAGCAGGAGGAGGGCGTGCAGACCCAGAGGACATTCCTGCTGTTCTTCCCGAAGAGTGCTGAGCGCTAACCGAGCAGGGAGAACTCACCAAAGACGTGGGCGCAGTTAGTGTTTTAAAAAGAACTTTTAAAACTGACTCAGGAAAGAACGTAGAAAAGAACCCAGGTTTTTGTTTCTGTGGTTAGGAAGGACCCTCCCCCACTGGCAATCGGCCTCCAAGCACCCAAGAAAGAGAAGCCCCTCTCTTCTGATGCAGACCCCCAACCAAAAGCCTCGAAGGCCCCGGGTTGGCTGATCCCTTATTCAAACCGGTAAAATCCGGATGTTGTTAAATTAACTCGTGCTGTCCTCTTACCCCAGCCAAAGTCAAGATGTTCTCCAGTGACCTGGTCATGATGAGATGCTTCCTGGCGCGAGTTACTGCTACATACAGTAAATTCCACTCGTCCTCAGAAAACGACTCTGAAGAAAGCAAAGGGGAAAAAAATATCAACACAGAAGCCTGCTTACAGAAATTTATATTCTTATCTAAACGTTTACTATTCGGGTCTTCCCTGGTGGCGCAGTGGTTAAGAATCTGCCTGCCAATGCAGAGGACACGGGTCTGATCCCTGGTCCGGGAAGATCCCACATGCCGTGGAGCAACTAAGCCCATGCGCCACACCTACTGAACCTGAGCTCAAGAGCCTGCAAGCCATAACTACTGAAGCCCATGCACCACAACTACTGAGCCTGTGCTCAAGAGCCCACAAGCCACAATTACTGAACCCATGCACAACTACTGAAGTCCATGCATCCTAGAGCCCGCGCCACAACTACTGAGCCCACATGCCTCAACTACTGAAGCCCACGTGCTCTAGGACTCACATGCTGCAACTACTGAGCCCACGTGCTGCAACTACTGAAGCCCACACGCCCTAGAGCCTGTGCCGCAATTACTGAGCCCACGTGCTGCAACTACTAAAGCCTGTGCGCCTAGAGCCCGTGCTCCGCAACAAGAGAAGCCACTGCAATGAGAAGCCCATGCACCACAACAAAGAGCAGTCCCTGCTCACCGCAACTAGAGAAAGCCCGTGTGCAAAGCGCGCGTGCAGCAATGAAGACCCAACACAGCCAAAAAAAAAAAAGTTTACTACGCCCCATCGCCCCAAAAAACCCTCAGGATTTGCTGGCTTTATAAGCAAAATTTTCCTACAAACACCAACAAAACTCTAACAGACTAGGGGCACAGAACACCCACACTTTGACTCCATGACTAACAGAGAGCTTTTGTGTCTGTTTGTGGGAAAACTTCAAATGGTTTTATTATAAGACTTAAAACCAAAACAACAACACTGGGCTTCCCTGGTGGCGCAAGTGGTTGAGAGTCCGCCTGCCGATGCAGGGGACACGGGTTCGTGCCCCAGTCCGGGGGGATCCCACATGCCGCGGAGCGGCTGGGCCCGTGAGCCATGCCGCTGAGCCTGCGCGTCCGGAGCCTGTGCTCCACAATGGGAGAGGCCACAACAGTGAGAGGCCCACGTACCACAAAAAAAAAAAAAAAAAAACAGCACTGATGCTTAGATGCTTAGAGTTTAACAGGTAGCCTTGAGTATAAACTGATACAAAAGCAGACAAATGATAGAGTGCTTACACTAATCCCTTGTATGATTTTCGGGCCTCTTTAATAAAAAGGAGAATTAATTAAAGAAAAACACCTTGGCGAGCAGGTAAACTGTTTTAGAGCTTCTGTCTGATGGGGAAAAACCCACAGCTGAAGAGCCGGTGCAGGTTAAACAGGATGCAATAAACACAGCTGCCCTCCGAGCAGCCCTGAGGGAGGTGGACCCTGGAGGCTCAGTTTTTCTAAACACACAGTCTAAAAACAACAAATTTAGGAGCAGGAGGATTTTCTTGTTCTAGAAGGATCCTTCCAAGGAGCCACACCATGCAAGAAAAAGCAAGGCAGCCCTGCAGTGAGGCGCCAGCGGTCTCCTTACCGACTCTGAAGTGGGGCAGCTGAGCGAGGTTGTGCCTAGCACAAGGCACTTTCACGAAATCATCTAGGACATGCACAGTGTCAAACTCCAGGCCTTTGGCCTTGTGCACAGTGCCCAAGATGTACTCTGGAACAGAAACACAGCGGACGGGCAGATGAGGGGGTGACTGGGAAAGAAAGGAAAGAGGTGAAAAGCTTACACTTCCCACCACTCCCAAAACGCTAATTACGTTTTCTTGCCTGGGTGCGGCTCTGCAGAAAAAGGGGGAAAGAGGAAACCTCAGTCAGAATAAAAAAGGGAGAAACAAAAAAAAGACGAGGGGAAAGTAGAAATTCGTTGCAGGTGTTGCGAACACGGCCGAGTTCCAGTCCAGAGCTCATGGCGGCTGCCCACCGCCTGCTTCCTACGCACGAGGGGACAGAGGCCCAGAAGAGGCTGGGGGTTTGCCAAGGGTCAGCCGGTAGCAGAGATGGGACTCGGGAGCCCCTTCTACGGGCTGGAAGTAGAACAGAAATAAAGGGGCCACAGGAGAACAGCAGCCTTGTTCCACTGACACAGCCGCCCCTAGTCACCCATGATGTCCACGCTGGCAAGAGGCACCAGAGGCGGGCTGCCCCCGCCCCCAGGGGGAAGTGAAGAGCCCCCGTGTCCCTCACCTGCAAAGTCCAAGTCCTCTATGTGGCATCTCTCTATCCTTTCCACCAGCTCTGGAATCCGGATGTTGTACTTCTCCACGACCGCAATCTTGGCTTCCAGCTCCTTGTCCTCGGCCGCAGTCACATACCGCTTGAAGCCACTGAAGCCCTCTCTGTGCACCCACCTTCTGATGAACCTGTCTTTAATGACGAGGTTTCCTAGAGGGAACAGGCGTAGGGGTCAAGGTGACACAGGCTGCACCGACGTGCACTCCTCACTGACCACATGATAAATGAATGGTCTCAGAGCTGGAGACCCAGGTCCAGGCTCGACGGCATCACTAACCTGCCGTGGGTGCCTGGGCAAGTCAGCGCAGTGACCTGTGCCATAGCCCCTCCAGCTCCAAACTCAGGGTCAAGAGCCCTGCTGACATCCTTGTCTGCTTCTCAGGGATTCGAAATTGTGCAGTAATGAAAAAACGAAAGCGCTACAGAAAATTAGAAAGGATCACATGGGGCCCATGCAGAAGTCTCAGTGTGTGAGGTCACCCGGGCAGACAGAAAGATGGCGGGGAAGACGGCCTAGGGGCCAGCATGACAGAGAAACTTAGACTCCTGAGAAAAGGGTCTGGAAAGAGCCATCGGTGCCTCTGAAAACAGGAGGTCTCTGGCATCCCACCGCTGATGAGAAGAAGCCACACTGGCTCCTCCAGAGCAAACGGGAACTGACTCAGAACCTGCCCGCCCTCCTCCACCCCGCCACTGTGTGCCTGCGTCCACCCCACGCAGCAAGGAGGACACTCACGTCTCTTCCGTTCTTCCTCCGGCTGAAGAAGCGTCCAAATATCAATGATTCTGTCCAATCCAAATGATTTAATCCCCTGAAAAAGTTTTTCGGTGGGAATTTTTTGGTGTTTTGTTGTTTTTAATTTTGTTTTATTTTTGTTACTGTTGTTAACAGGACAAAGTAAAGCAAATGTAGAGGTGGGATTTTGAAATGAGACGCTTTTTTTGGAAACAGATCTCAAATTGCACCCAATGCATAAAGACATCGAGTGGGAACCTTCATTACGCACAAAAGCAGAGGTCACAACGCAGCCTGCAAACTCGGGATGACCCAGTGCTAAGCTCTGGCTGCTCCCTCAGACTTCTCCTACGTTTAAAAAAAAGGCAAGAACTAGCTGCATGTTGCTTTCATGTCAAAGAAGGCAATTTAAATCATCTACCTTCCACGAATATAAAACAGCTGCAGCAAAGAAGACAGACGAGACCTGAATACTGAGCGTGGAGCACAAACACTCGCCGCTGTTCCTTCTGAGGAAAGAACTAGACTGTCTACAGGTACTGGATCTGTTAAAAGGTCAGCTCCTGGAGGAGAGGGCCTGACCCTCCCAGTTCAGCCCACCTCTACTGGGAAGCATGTACTGAGCACTGACTGGGGCCCAGGACAAAGGCTCCACACTCCAAGGGTTTAGATCATTTGGGGAAGGGACACATAAAACATTAACATCAAACTGAGACCAAAATAAGACAGTACAGATTATAACGTAACCAGAAGTGATCAAGCGGGATGACACATGTGGGAGTGAGACAGGGGAGAGGACAAGCTCACATCCTGCCTGGCGTGGAAGATGCTCCAACAGTACCATTTCCTTACAATAACAAAGATGGCTAAACTATGCTACATCCACTGAGAAAGTATTGTAAAGTCACTCAAATAGCAACATGGGAGAAAATATGCTCGTGGGTGGAGTAAAAAACACATACTCTTTTTTGTACACTCTAAATGCAATTGTGTAAAAATACATAACTATAAGGCCAAAGACATAAATAATTAGCAAAAATGAGAATTTTTACATAAAACACTGAGATTAAGGGTGATTTTTTTCCTTTTAATTTCCAAAACTTCTGTAACTTGGTTACATAATCTTTATAAATTAAAAAAAGGAGCATCAGAAATTTTTTATTTTGATTCACTTACTGTATGTACTGAGGGTCTACACACAGTAGGCCCTAGAAAATATTTTTTTCATACATGAACGGATGAATGTCTCTTAGACATAAAACTCTTGCTTCCAAGAGTTAAAAATGCCATACACATGTCACTCAACCCTCTTAGCTTCCCTGTGAAACAAGCAGTGTCGCTGTCCCAGAGATAGAGGGGCTGAGTCGCCTGCCACAAGCCACACACAGTTAGTGAAGAAGCAGAGCTAGAACCAGTGTCCACTCTGCATCTGGAGCCCCAGGCACTTACCAGCTGTGCCCTCACCTCGCTTGTCTTACACGACTGATCATCACACCCCAGGACACTCACAGGCAGCTGGCAGCCCCGCGTGCACACAGGTTAGAAGGGCATTCTTTTTTTTTTTTTAAATAACGGAGGAAAAGGTCCACAGTCCTTGCTGGGCCACACTTTACAGGACTCGCTGGACCAGAATGGCCAGGGGGAAGGACTTCACAGCGCAGGCTCGGGAACAGTCACAAACCCAAATGCCTGTGTGCAGAGTAAGCCTGGACATGTGGGCCGTTTTCAATGGCTCTGTGCGTCGGCAATGTTTCCGGGCGAGAGCAGAGAACAGAAACGCACTCCTACCCCTATCAGGTGGATCCGGGCAGGCACTTCTCCTTCCGTCACCCGGACGGCCTCATCAAACACGTTGGCGTTGGTCCGGGACAGCAGGGCCACCTGCCCCTTCGTGTCACCTCGAATGCCACCTTTTGGGAGAGAGCACAAACTCTAGGGCAAATCCAGATAAAGAGGGAAGCTAATCTGTGTAACAAATACGTGTAACTGAAAGCCTTACTCTGATGGTTGCCTCCAACCAAAGTCTTTTTTCTTACTCGCTTGCAGACATCCAAGATTGTAGCTCCCACATAGGCAATTTCCACACCAAACCTAAAACTCTGTGGGAGAACAACACAATGAAAGGAGTTAACACCCCCTGAAGAACGTGAGCGCATTGCTACCACTGCCAAGGCCTGGCCTCGCCAAACCCCACTGAGCATCTCTGACTTGCCCGACCTGGAATGGGTACTTGGAAATTCCCTACTGTAAACTGACTTACACAGAACAGGAGCTTGGAAAGCAAAGAATCACCATTCTAAGTTTTCAGAATAGCATTTTCTATCTTGAAACCTGAGAGTTACCTGCTTTTCTTTATCTCTTGCCCCCAAATCCAAACCTTGACAATCTTCCACCATGCTTTCTACAGTCGTTTTCTTACCACTGCTCCCAGCGCAGCTCAGAGACCCCTACCTCATGCATCCCCAACTTGGCCTCTTTCCCTCTGCCACTTGAATCTTTCCCTCATGTGTTCATCAAGCCCCGTGCCTCGCCACAAAAAGGACGAGCACTCTACGAAGAAAAGGTGACGTATGGACTTTCAGGACTCCTGCAGCCTGGACAGCCTTAAGCCCCTTCGTTCCCCGAGACCAGCAGCAAACTTTTCTTTTAAGCAAATCTACCATTCTTTCCAAACTGCCTCTAACAAAGAAGCGTATATTATACAGAAAATTAAGGGAGGAAGGGGGTCTCTCCCTGCCCCCTGAGGCTCCCTCAACATCGATTCAAACCCTACATAACCGGCCACAGGACCAATCACCATTTCCTGAGCGTTCCCTGCCCTCCCCCTGCCGTGCTGCATGGCAGTAACTTCAAAACGCGGCCCAACACACTAATCCCTTGACCACTGTAGCTGGAAAGACACCATTCTTGCCCAAACTCGTGGTATTTATTGCCTTTTTCCATTCACTTATAACTTAAGGTAATGAAGTATTATGTACTTTGGTGAATATCAATAACACAGCCTAAGGAAAGCAAGACTTTCAACAAACAGTACTTTGTTGCTATAGAACTATTCTAAGTGAGCCATAACTCAAATTATAAAGATCCATGAGTCTATACTGACACAAATGAATAAATGAATAAATAAATGGAAGAGAAGACACAAAATCTCCTTTGCAGAAGAATTCCGAATAATCTATGTAGACACTCCAACTCTTGTTCCCGAGTGAGCACTGAGGGCAGTGACTTCCTTCCAAGGCACACAGTGTGGAGGGGTGGCGGGGGGAGTCACTTCACGGTGAAGGGAACTGCCAAGCACCACTTCAGCCAGGGGACCAAGACAACATCATCAGTTATAAATCATGTTGATGGGGGACTTCCCTGGTGGCGCAGTGGGTAAGACTACACACTCCCAAGGCAGGGGGCCCAGGTTCGATCCCTGGTTGGGGAACTAGATCCCATATGCATGCCCCAGCTGAGAGTTCACATGCCACAACTAAGGAGCCCGCCTGCCGTAACTAAGACCCAGTGCAACCAAATAAATAAATATTTTTCAAATAAATAAATAAATAAATAAACCACGTTGACAGTACGGGCCCCCAATACCTTGTAATGAAAATGGCAATTTTTCTTCCAAGGCCTTCCTCCCAAAACATCAGTGCAACCACCAGACAAACACCAACAGAGGGGTATCCGACAGAACACCTAACCAGTCCTCTTCAAGGTCCAAAAAAAAGACAAGCGTGAGAAACCACAGAGCACAGCCAATAGGAGCCTAAGAAGACTTGACAACTGAATGCAGATAGGGTCACCTGAATAAGATCCTGGAATAGAAAAAGGACATTTGGTAAAAAACCAAGGAAATCTGAATAAACGATGGACTTTAGTTTATAATAATGTATCCACAGTAGTTCATTAACTGTAGCAAATGTACCACACGAATATAAGACGTGAATAATAAAGGAAACTGAATGTAGGATGTGTAAGAACTTTCCATACTATCTTCTCAACTCTTCTATATATCTGAAACTAAAAAACGTCTATTAAAAAAAATTCCTCTGGGTTGATGCCACCCTAAGTCACTACAGCAAACAAGGGAAACTCCAGGAAATAAGGTCACTGAGTGGGCTACAGGGCCTCCTAGAAAAGAACAGAACACAGTTTAGATGACGCTGGCACTTTCGCTGGCAGTCTCACATCCTCTTACTAGAAGTGAGGTTTTTAAAAGCAGTGGTTTTCACACCTTTTAGTCTCAGGACTCCTCATACTTTAAAAAATTAGTGAGCACCCAAAGATGCTTATCATTTACGTGAGTTGTACCTACCTACAATTACCACATTAGCAACTTTAGTGCATTTCAATATAACAATAACCCCATTACATGATAACATACAGAACATATTTTTAAAACGGTATTTTTCAGGACTTCCCTGGTGGCACAGTGGTTAAGAATCCACCTGTCAATGCAGGGGACACGGGTTCGAGCCCTGGTCCGGGAAGATCCACATGCCATGGAGCAACTAAGCCCATGCGCCACAACTACTGAGCCTGCACTCTAGAGCCTGAGAGCCACAACTACTGAGCCCACGGCGGTGCCCTAGAGCCCACACGCCACAACTACTGAGCCCTCATGCTGCAACTACTGAAGCCCGCATGCCTAGAGCCCGTGCTCCACAACAAGAGAAGCCACCGCAATGAGAAGCCTGCACACCGCAACAAAGAGTAGCTCCCACTCACCGCAACTAGAGAAAGCCCGTGCGCAGCAACAAGACCCGACGCAGCCAAAAAATAAAAAAAAAATTTTTAAATGGTATTTTCCAAAACAGAAGTTAGAGAGAAGAGTGGCACTGTTTTTACATTTTTGCAAATGTTTTTAGTGCCCAGCTTAAGACAGCCGAATCTCAGAGCTCTGTCTGCATCCAGCCTGGTGTGACAGCCTCACAAAGATGAGTGCTGAAAAGGGGAGGAACATGTAACAGCTTTTCCAGATAATCAAGGCCCCAGGAATTGCCATGCTCATGCTGGAAACAAGGTTTCCAAAATCTGGATTTCACTTGAAAGCAAGTTTATCTTCGGCAATACATATGTCAGCTGTTTTCCTTGAAGTCACAGCTCATAGCATGCGTTTTTGAGAAAATGCCAAATCCCCAAGTCTGAATAACCAGAATTGGTCTGTCAGCTGCTCGTTCAAGCACAAACGAAAGAAGCAGCAGTGGAGCTCACAACACAATCACAAAAGTGCTCCTGGTCAGACAGCAGCACACTGCAGGGGCAGAAGGACTTCATCCTACTTCCCATTTCATCACACAGACTGTGAGAGAGACGGACTCAAGGGTCTACAGTAATGAAATTAATCATTTTTCCTGTGCCATCAAGGATGTTCTTAGTAGGGACTTCCCTGGTGGTCCAGTGGGTAAGACTCTGCGCCCCCAATGCAGGGGGCCCAGGTTCGATCCCTGGTCAGGGAACTAGATCCCATATGCATGCCACAACTAAGAGTTTGCATACTGCAACCAGAAGATCCTGTGTGCTACAATGAAGATAATAAATAAAAATAAATATTAAAAAAAATAGTACTCTTAAAAACAAAAGATGTTCTTAGTGAACTGCCTACTTTCTTTTTTGACTCAGTGCCTTGCAGTGAAGAATAAGGCAACTGCTAGGACCGGCTGGTGCCAAAGCCGAGATTCTCAGCCACAGTCTCACCACTGACTTTGCATCATCAGTGCAAATGTCAACATAGTGCAAGAGGCAGATAACTATTATGAAAACAGTTTTGACTTTGCAGACCCCCTGAGAACCACGGAGAGCCACTGCTTAGAGGCACGGATTTGCTACACACAGTGAGCCTCATGAAGAGCCTTACACGGGGCCTGGCACATAGTCAACACTGGAGAACCAGGGTGGGGAGCCACAAGGCTTGCGTGTATATACGCGTCTGGGGACTGGGAAGAAAAGACAGCGCTTACCTGTGTGAGATAGAAGACGTGCGTGTGAGGGACTGTGAACAGAGCGTTGACTGCACCTCGGAAGGTATAGATCTGTTGGTGTGGGTCCCCCACGAAGATTTTCCCACATGGCTGAGACAGAACTATGTTCATGATCGCTGCGACCAAGAAGATGGAAAGTAAGGGCTCTGAAGTGACACCAACCCACGGAGCAAAAAGAAACCAAACTTAAGACAGAAAAGGATGAAAACGCTTGCACACTGGACAACAGTTATCTTTCCCTCCAGCATAGGTGCACTCAGTCCAAAGAAATGATTTTATAACAAACAAAAGAAACAGCTTCTAACCCTACGAATGCAGATTATTTTTACTCCTGAATAAATCATTGAGTATAAGAAACCACATAGGCAAATATAAAATGAGGCAAGTTATCTTCTCTGATATTATAATTTAAGGCCCCAAAATGACCTAGTCACACTATTTTCTATCAGCCACTGGAAAAATACACAACACAAATTGTTCACTCTAAATTGACTACCTTTTCCCCCTCCACATGAGTCTCAACCCAATCATCTGGTGACCTAGGCTCAGCCAATATTTTAAGAATAACGCAAGCAAAACATTTAGAGAAAATTAAGTCTCCTTTGGGTGAGGGGTGGGGGTGGAGAGACAAGTGCTGAAATCCACAGTCAGACAGCAAAGGGTTTCTGAATGACTAAGCGTCATGCACTCCTCCTCATGACAGACAAGAATCATCGACTTATGCACACACGTGTCCTCTTACACATTCACAACACTGTTGCTATGTGTTTGGGACTACTGGTGTCCTGAATGGTTTATCACCTGGGGTACAGTCCTGGGCCTCGTCCACAAAGATGGCGTCAAAAGAGGCCAGCAGAGGCTTGCTGAGCTGCCAGAGTTTCAAGTAGCCTACAAGAAGGGGCAGAAGAGTCAGAAATCGGAATGAGGCGGGTCCACGGCGGGGCTCAGGACTGGGTGCGTGCGTACCGTCGTGCGTCATATGGTAAGCCTCCTCCTTGCACTCGCCCAGCTTCCGCATGTTGTCCCAAAGTCGGCTCGCTTCGAGGACACTGTTCTAGAAAGCAAGTGACACGGTGATGTGAAGGTCATGACCCTGAAATCAGGAGTTCATGTCCATGTGCAGGGGTCAAAGCAAAGGCCCCAGCTCACGGTGAACGGCAGCCCCCCTCCCCGACCTCCCCCGGCTCCACGAGGGCCTCATGTCAACGTCAGGCGCCCAGATGGGCAAAAGCCAGGGGCTGGACCACACCCAGAGGTAGAGCATCGCTCAGGGAGCACAGCATCTGATGAACCAAGAAAGGCTGGATGATTCCTCTAGATTTATGACCGACAGTTAATTCATAAAAAGTGTGGTCAATGACTGAAAAGACTTGATAAAAATTAGAAAAGAGAATCACATCTTTCGACCCTGGACCAGCAGACCCCACGACAAGCTCTTATAAACCCTGGGCAGGAGCCCCATCTGTGAAATGGAGGACCAGGCTGAGGACTAAGCAAGATGAGTGCTCTTCACAGAAAACCCTATATACTTCGCAGCCAGCACAACTGGCCTAGGGTCTCCCCTCCACCTCTACCTCCTGCCAGCAGCTCTAAAGACATCAAAGACCAGTACAAGCTGGCACCGTGTTGAGCCCTTGTTCCTCCCGAGCCCTAACTCCAAAGGGACTGAGACACTCACAAGCTTCTCGCTCTGCTCGACCATGACTCTCTGTCCCTGGCTGTTCTTACACCAGATGGGCACGTGGTCGATCGTCAGCTCGTCGTCAGCCGAGGCAAAGAAGTTTTCCAGAGTCTTACATACTAGCTTGGCCCTTATGAAGCCACCCTTCCCTTCAGCGAGGACAGAGTTGACCATGAAGGGGGTTAACTTGAAGAGATTCAACTTCTTCTTCAATTGGTACCTGCAATGCACGTCCCAAAGGCACCGGGTTGGCTTTTGTGGCAACTCGCGATTTAGTGTCTCCCCCAGGTCTGCCCCCTTCTCTCCAACGACACCACCAGGTCACTGGAAGTGGCACATACAGGTGACAAAAAAAAGCCTGAGGAGCTGAGTGAGGTCCTCGTAGGATTGGAAAGGGCTCCGTTACGCTTTCCAGAATTCACATCTAATAACCCAGGAGACGAAGTGGCTCACAGCAGATACCACTGTTCCAAGGTGTGGACCAGACTCCAGGAGGCCCCAGGGGGGGACCCTCGAAGCTCCCTGAAGCTTTCTCGTCCAAGGGGACATGGCTCAGAGGCCCTGGGTGCCTGGAACAAGTGCCCCTCAGCCCCGTCTTCTCCCCTCCAGCTTCTGAGGAAAGCCTGAATGGGTCAACCAGACTGGTGATGCCCTGAACTTTAGGCAAGTCACTCTGACCTTCTGTGCCTCAGTTCGAGACATGAAAATGCCTCCCTCAGTGAGACAGTGTTAAGCTTCCCTCAGTAGCAATATATCTCTATGGGGGAAGTAAAAATTACTCAATCTATGGCCATATTCCCTGCCTGTAAATGAAGATAAAGCACTAAGTTTTCTCCGAGTCACTGTGGTATACTGACTGCAACGTGAGAGCAGTAACTGGACGTAATGGCAACAGTGGCACCATGATGCTCACTTGCGCCCGATGTGCCCGTAGGCCATGGAGTGGAAGGTCTTGCAGATGACATTGCTGGGGAAGACGAGCTCGGCCTGCTTGGCGATGCTCTTGTTGAAGGTCACGTACAGAAACCTGCTCTCAGACCACTTCTCAGCGTACTTGACCAGGGTGGAGGTCTTCCCAGTACCTGAGGAAGCCAAGAGCAAGGGAGGTGACCCTCTGACCAGGAATAACGGTTCCCACAGACGCTATAATCGGGTCCCACCCATGCCTATCTCCCCGCTTGTCTGGGACCAGACAGTGGCAAGTTCTCCAGTACTGATGAAAATTAAAAACAGTGCTGTGAAGGGAGCAGCAGACTCAAGACAGAGCCACCTGGGTTGGGGTAGCAGATCCTGCAGCTCTAAAGGGGCCACTTCAGTCTGCTCCTCAGCCTGTGTGGGTAACACTGACCTCATAGGGTGTGCAGGATAATTACCCAGGTACCCAGCAGAGGAACTCATAAACAGTAGCTATGCTGGCCTAGGCACCATTCATGCTTCGACAGCAAGAGCATGAAAATGAGATTCAAGGATCCTTCCAACCTGTTCTGAACTATCCTATCTACCCCTCCTCCCCACCTTTCATTCAGTTATTCAGTTAGTCAACTGTCACCCACTGAACAAGTATTTCCTGAGCACCTACTGCACATTCAGCCCTACACTAGGCATGTCACAAACACAAAGCAAGGTTCCTGCATTACAATCTAGTTGGGAATAAAACACCAACACAGTTGGAACAATTGGAACAAAAAAAAAGAGAATAATGATAACACAGTAGAGTGAAAAAGAATATGGATCTGGAAACAAAAAAGAAAATCTCGCCTATGAAAGAAGAAAAATAGCACCTCCTTTCCTACCTACCAGGGCTGTTTGAAGATCAACAGATCAATGACATAGTGTGGAGGTGTTTACAGAAGGTGTGTGTTGGCTATTCTTCCTATGTAATCAGGCACCAAACAGTTAATACAGATTAGTCACAGTGAGAGTTCAGAATCACGGAGATCTCAAAGGGCTGAGGAAGCCTCCACCAAGAAGACACAGAAGTGACGGGGGTCAACGTCAGATGGCAGAGAGATAGAGGAAGTAGGGGACGGGGAGGGTAGGCGAACAGGCACGTTTCTGGAGAGAAATAGATCCAGCTTTGAATTCCACCTCCACCACGTATTTGCTCATTTAATCTGGACCACATCATTTTAATTTCCCTGAGCTTTAAAACCTCATACATAAAATGAACCAGAAGTGGAAGCCATCCACACTTCCACCGCAGAGGGCATGGGTTCAATCCCTGGGGAATTAGGATCCTCCATGCCACGCAGTGCAGCCAAAAAATAAATAAATAAACCAACCTCACAGAATGTTAGGATTAGCACAGGGCAGACATTTGATAAAGTGGCTGTTGTTTTTAGTACAATATTTAGGCAGAAAAGAAGCGGGAAGGCATTCCAGGTAGAGAAAATAGTATGAGCAAAGGTTCAAAGAGCAACCAAGTACTTTAAGAGCCAGGAAGCACAATTAGCTGACTGAGTAATGTATGTTAGAACCAAAAGGTAGGAGGCCCTTCCAGACTTCACCCTATAGAAATCAAGGAGCTCCTGACACTGTCTGAACAAGGGATTCACATGACCTACCGCCCCATAAGCAATCAGTGTCTGAGCAGATATGATGATACATAATAGGCTGGATCAATCCCAGTGGCATCTACCCCACAAACAAACTCCTATGGACCATTTGTTCAGCAGGAAGCCCAGTGTGGATGCCCCCCTGGAGTGGTAAGAAAAAGCACTTATCCCTTGGCAACTGCTTTTTAGATGATTTAATTGCAGCAGTTCAATAATAGATTAAGGTAAAGATATTCTGGCAGGTGGGGGGTAAGGTGGTAAGAGGCATTCCAGGAATGGCAGCCCCCTTACCTGCAAATGCCATAATTTTTACCACCTGGAGAGGTTCCATCTTATGGCTTAGGATCAGCTGTTGTTCATGTGTCAGCTGGATGGTTGTTTTCTTGCTATAATCATTACAGAAGAGAAATCAGGAAAAGAATAAGGAATTGAAAAGATCAGGTGATAGACTGTCAAAAATGAAACAGGAAACCAAATGGGACGAATAAAATTTAACCAGAAAAAAGGGGAGGGCTGCCTCCCCTTAGGGTGATTGAATTGTTCTAAAACTAGGTTATGATGTTAGTTGCACACTCAGTAAATCTACTAAAAATTATTGAATTATACAATTAAAATGGGTGAATTTTATTTAATGTAAATTATAACTCAATAAAGTGGTTAAAACAAAACACCTTTTCCTCTTCAAGTACGAGAGTCAGGAATCAAAGACGTCCACACACACACACCCTTACAGACATACCCTGGCCAGACCGATGGTTCCTCTTTGACTTCTGTGGCCTGAGCACAGGAATTCTCCTGAAGATACAGGCAATAGAAAATGTTGTAGTGAATCCTAACAGGAAAAAAGCAGATTAGAGATTTTCAAATTCAGTCATGACCTGTATCTTATTTTTCCTCAGATGTTTTTTAGACTCCTAATCATTGCTAAAAATAAAATATGTACCACCATTTTATGAAAAAAAGGGAAGAAAAGGGTTTAAATATACCTAGAGCTGAGCTATATTTACCTGCACTGTTGGAGGTAAATATTTGGAGAGCACGGTTCTGGGAGAGATGCCTGGCTGCGATGGGCAGAGGCAAAGGAGACAGACCAGGATGTGCTCTTTGGGGAACAAAATGTAGCCACGTATGAACACAGAAGGCTCCGTCCACTCCAGGCTCAACAGCCCTGTAGGTAAACACTATCTTGGGGATGGTGTACGACCCCACGGCACCTCACGTTCACAGAGCCCGCCTGCCTGCATCACTGCACTCAAACCTCACGGAGAACCTGGCGGAGCAGTGGGTGGTGGGGCTCGCCCAGCGGTAACGCGAGGAAGGGGCAGGGCGGGGGCCAGTTACCGGTTGCTGATGTTGATCCCTTTCTCCCTCATGGCGTAGAGCAACACGGCAATGCAGTACAGAGTCTCGGTGATGTCTGGCATGGTCACTGTGGAGCTGGGCCGCCGGAGGCAGAAGAGCAGCTGCTGGATGTCATTGACGCTGCTGGACAGGAGGATGATGGCCGCCACCAAGGCCCACACGTTGACACCCTGAGGAGGGAGGTGGACAGGACAGGAGACGAGACCCAAAACACAACCGGTAAGAATCACATGGGACAGCCGGTGAAGAAAGCCAGGTTTGGGGTTCGTGTACCTTCCTCAGACCATCTAAACGGAGCGCAAACTTCCTGAATGACATATGGGAAACACCAGGCATGTCTCCTTTTACCCTGGATTCCTTCTTTCTCATCATTTTTGGGTTTGAGTTCTTAAGTTTTCTTTGATTAAATAACATTTATAAAGTACTTAACGCAAGACGCTGCACAGACGTGATCCTCCCGCCTCCTCACCAGCCCACCCCACCCGCACCACCAGGTCAGTGTGAGCTCTGAGGTCCAGACACGCAACTCAAACAAGCTCACTATTAAATGGGTGCCCATCTGGGAGGCACAAAAACTGGGGGATACAAAAGAAGACAGCAGTCTTTAGGGGGAAATCAAGACTGACAATTCAATGGCATTAAAATGTTAATTTAGTATTTATGTTATTATTATTTAATACTTATTAAATGTTGTTAACTAAATATTAAATTATTGAAAATTTATTATTATGGACACCGTATGCTCCATTTATTAATGTCTAAGAAAATGTTCACTAACATGGAAATATCAATAATAGACATATAGGGACTTCCCTGGTGGCTCAGTGGTCAAGACTCCACTCTCCCAATGCAGAAGGCCTGGGTTCGATCCCTGATCAAGGAACTAGATCCCACATGCAGGCCTCAACTAAGAGTTCGCAAGCCACAACTAAGGAGCCAGCAAGCCGCAACTAAGGAGCCTGCCTGCTGCAACTAAGACCCAGCACAACCAAATAAAAATAAAAATAATAATAATAGACATATAAGTATATAACTATCATTCTTAACTTTACTGCAAGTCTCCCTGTTAAAAATGCATCCACAAAAGCAAAGTTCCACACACCTTTCACTACAACCATACTGGGAAACAAATCTCACTCCATCGACAATCACTTCACTAAAGATGGACAGAGAAATGCACATGGCTGGATTTCCAACCCTCGACTGGCTGCAGAATGAGGCTGAGGTTGCATGTGGCTTCCAAAACAAAATTTAAGAAGAATCGCTATCCAGATGAGAAGCCACAAGACAAAGGAAACTGGAGACTATTTCCAGCTTCTCATTAACTCACTGTGCGTCAGTACAAAATCCTTCTTTTCTCTGGTTCTTTCAAATAACCCAAGGTGTCAACAATACAATGGGCTGCCTTGTAAAGAAGTCCTTACTAATCAAAGTGTGTAGAGGTTAGATGACCATCCTCTGTTGGAACCGCTCAACAGAATGGGAAATTGGATGAAATACTTTTTAAAATTCCTTCCAAATTAAAGAATCTATAACAATGTAGCCTTTTATTTCTCTATGGGACCAATGACAAGATTAAGGCTTCAAAGCGAAGGCTGAAGGAAGATTTTGAAAATAAATCTAAAATAACCTTCAACCAAATTTGATCACCAATACACTTTCTTCCAAAGAGAAAAGGTGTCACCTCCCCAACCCTCCCCTCCCTGCAGCCTCTTCACGTACGGCAGGGGCAGCGTAGAGATCGGGGAGGTGTTGGCGCACGCAGGCCTCTGCCTCGGGGAGGAGGAGGTGATCCCTCAGACTCCACAACGCCCGTCCAGGGTCCACACTCGGGGAGCACTTAGTGGTGGCTGTGTAGCTGTAAGACATTCACAGCAGCGTCCATGGGAAAGGTGATCCAGTAAGTGCTGATTTCTGGGAAAGGACTTTGGAAACTGACTTCCTCCCAGGAAACGGGGACTCACCGGATGAGGTTCAGCACACACAGGTCTGACTCCTTCTCTATGCCATAGCTCGAGAGGATACCATCCACTTTGCTGACAGCTTGCTCTTCATTCATCAGGTATCGGTGATACAGCTTTTTCCAAGGAATGAACTAGACAGTTTAAAAAATCCAAAACAACATGCAGGCAATGGCTATTAGAGAACTTATCAGGCCACAAACATATAGATAATTGCTTGAAAAACAATCACATTCTCCAATTCAAAAGCTGGGCAAATAGGGTAGAAACATTATACAAATTTTAGTTGGAAACTAGGAGAAGGGGGGGCTCTTGGTTTGGGTTCCAACATAACTTTTTTACAGAATCTGGGAAAAGCCAGTGCTTCAATTTCCCTATCTGAAATAGTGTCCTGTCCCTGTTGGGACACTAATGGCTCAGAGCTTCAGCGAGGATTAAATAACATGAGAGTTGTGGCTATACTAAGATTAGACAAAATAGACTTTAAGTCAAAAGTTATTAGAAGAGGGACTTCCTTGGTGGTCCAGTGGTGAAGAATCCGCCTTCCAAGGCAGGGGACACAGGTTCGATCCCTGGCCGGGGAACTAAGATCCCACATGCTGCAGGGCAACTAAGCCCACGTGCCACAACTACTGAGCTCACGCACCTCAACTAGAGCCTGCATGCTGCAAACTACAGAGCCCACGTGCCCTGGAGCCCACGCCACAACTAGAGAAGAGAAAACCTGCACAGCACAACTAGAGAGAAGCCCGCGTGCCACAACAAAGACCCCGCGCACCACAGCGAGCGCTGCAATGAAGATCCTGCGTGCCTCGATGAAGACCCGATGCAGCCGAATAAATAACTTAAAAAAAATTACTAGAAGAGACAAAGAATATTACTTGATGATAAAAGGGTCAATTCACCAAGAAAATATAACAATTATAAATATGCATGTACCAAATATCAGAGCTCCTAAATCTAGGAAGGAAACACTGACAGAATTGAAGAGAAAAACAGCAACATAATAACAGGAGACTTCTATACTCCACTTTCAAGAATGGATAGAACAAACAACACTGGACCAAAAAGGCATATACTGAACACTCCATCCAGCAACAGTAGAATATACAATCTTCTCAAGTATACATAGAACATTCTCCAGGAAAGATCACGTACAAGAACACAAAACAAGTGTCTTAACATATTTTAAAAGACTGAAATTATAGAAAGTATGTTTTTCAATCACTATAGAAACTAGAAATCAGTAGCAGAAAGAAAACTGGAAAACCCACAAATATGTGGAAATTAAACAACACACTTAAAACAACCAATGGGTCAAAAAGGAAATCACAAAGAAATTAGAAAATACCTTGAGACAAATGAAAACAAAAACACAGCATATCAAAACGTATGGAATGAAGTGCAAGCAGGGCTAAAAGTTAAGTTGATAGTTATAAAAACTTACATTAAAGAATAAGAAAGACCTGGATTTCCCTGGTGGTGCAGTGGTTAAGAATCCGCCTGCCAATGCAGAGGACACAGGTTTGAGCCCTGGTCCAGGAAGATCCCACAGGCCGCGGAGCAACTAAGCCCATGTGTCACAACTACTTAGCCTGTGCTCTAGAGCCTACGAGCCACAACTACTGAGCCCACGTGCCTACAGCTCATGCTCTGCAACAAAAGAAGCCACCACAATGAGAAGCCCGCACACCACAACGAAGAGTAGTCCCCACTCACCGCAACTAGAGAAAGCCCACATGCAGCAATGAAGACCCAACAAGCCAAAAATAAAATAATGTTTTAAAAATATTTTTAAAAAAATGAAGAAAGATCACAAATCAACAACCTAACTTTACACCTAAAGGAACTATAAAAAGAACAAACTAAACCCAAAGCTAGCAGGAGGGAGGAAATAATAAAGACTAAAGAGCAGAGATAAATGAAATAGAGAATAGAAAAATAGGAAAAAAAACCAATAAGGGCTTCCCTGGTGGCGCAGTGATTGAGAGTCCGCCTGCCGATGCAGGGGACACAGGTTCGTGCCCTGGTCCGGGAAGATCCCACATGCCGCAGAGCAGCTAGGCCCGTGAGCCATGGCTGCTGAGCCTGCGCGTCCGGAGCCTGTGCTCCGCAATGGGAGAGGCCACAACAGTGAGAGGCCCGCGTACCGCAAAAAAAAAAAAAAAAACCAATAAAACTAAGAGTTGTTTTTTTTTTTAACAAGATCAACAAAATTGACAACCCTTAGATATATTTTGGAAAAAAGAGAAGATTCAAATAACTGAACTCAGAAATGAGGGGAACATTACAACTGATGTCACAGAAATAACAAGACTTATAAGAATACTATGACCAACTGCAGATCAACCAACTGGATATAGTAGAAGAAATGGATAAATTCCTAGGAACACACAACCTACAAAGACTGAATGATGAAGAAATAGAAAATCTGAACAGACCAATAATTAGTAAAGAGACTGAATCGGTAATCAAAAGCCTCCCAAAAAGTTAAGAGTCCAGGACCAGACTGCTTCACTGAAAAATTCTACTGAACATTTAAAGAAGAACTAACATCAATCCCCCTCAAACTCTTCAAAAAAACTGAAGAGGAGGGAGCACTTGCAGACTTATTCTGAGGCCAGCATAATCTTATACCAAAGCCAGACAAAGACACTACAAGAAATAAAAAGAAAATGAGAGCTGTGACAAGGTCACTGAAAATAACCAAGTCATTGCTGGTGATGATAAAAACATCAAGAGGTAAGGATAAGCTGGGATATCCTCCCAAAATCCTCTCGAGCAGAATGGAGTGAAACCTCATCTATCCCCAGTTCACATCAGAGAGATAATTAAATGGGTAGAAATACTGAACCAAAACAGAGTTCACAAATAAAAACAGAAAGATATTTCTTAGAAAGTAGGAGACAAGACCCCAGGCAAAGAATGGAGCAAGAGCGATACGAAATTTCCTCCAAAATCTTTTGGGCTTGGAAGAGAAATGTACCAAGTTTTGATATATCCACCTTTCCCTCCATCTCCAAGATTTTAAACTTCAATGCATTTGAAGAATAAATTAAACTCTCTACCTCTGGTTTCTTCCCAATGTCTGGTCTAAGGGACATACAAGCTAAGGAGAACATTCTCCCAGCCCTCAGGCTTACTGGAGACCTGAACCTGGGAAGTATAATGACACAACAAAGGGAAGGGCAGGGCACAGGATAACGGTATCAGGAAATCCTTTCTGAGATCACCGGCTGCCCCTGTGTCATCTTCAAAAGGTACTCTTGTGACTAAACGCAACACTCATTTACTAATCACCTACTGTATGTAGAACATCGTGAGACAGTGCCGAATGCAAAAACAAACAGGACAACCAGCCCTCTAGCAATATGCTAATAATTTACAGGGAGGAAGAAGGCTCTCTAAGACCATAACAGAACATGATAAGCTTGAACAGAGGTATAAATCACTATAATAGCACAAGGAAGAGAGTGAGTGATTTCAATGGGATGGAATGGGAAAGCGTTAGTCTAAGAGTGCAGCCTTGAAGAGGAAAGACATCAACAGAGCTATGAGGGGCCCTTTTGGTTAGCTGGGGGAAGTGGGGTGCAGATTAGACCAACATAAGGGAAGTACTGTGCAGTCCACAGTTGGGAAGCAGAACATCATTGGTTGTGGACAGAATACAGGAATGGACTGGAATGAAGTCAGCAATGAGCCTGGAATAATAAGGTGGGACACACACAGAAGGTCCCGGTTGCCTCCAGGAGATTGGGATTTGATCCTGCAGGCAAATGGACACCAACATTTCTGAAGAAATGCCATTGTCAGGAGTATGCATTAAGTGAAGCGAATCCATGGACTTTTTAGAGAAAACACGAGAGAACAAAAAGCGCTTTCCGTACCAGTGGATCACTGATTATCTCCCTCCAAAAGTGGCACACCAAGCTCAGATTCCAGTAGAGGTCTTCCATGGGGAGGAAAGCAAAGATGTGCCTCAGGACCTCACTGGGCAGGCTGCAGATGTGGCTCTGGGGTTCCTGGCAGGGCGAGGTCCCAAGAAGCCCATAGTAAGAGTCAGGAACAGGATCAGGACCAATGTCCTCCACCTCCTGGCTGGATTCTCCAGGCTGCGCAGAGAACCACGACACACCGTCCTCTGCTTCCTGCCTGCCTTCCCTGGGCCGTCTGCACGACAGGGACAGATGATGCCGTGGGGTCTTCCTAGAAACCCCATCCCACTGACTGGTCCCTGTGGCTTGATTCCTCTCGTCCTCGAAGGACCGAGACCGCTTCCCTGACGAGCGTGGCCGTACTGCTCCATCACCTCCCTGAGGCAGGGCGCAGTGGCCTTCTGCAGCAAAAATCATCTCGTCCTCCGAGTCCTTAGAGCTGTCCTGGCCCACAGAATTGCTTTTGGCCATGTCATTGGTGCGCCGCTGCTGGCCAGCGAGGAAGAATTCAGGGTTGTATCCCAGGCATCCTCGACCTGGAGAGAGAACCCAAACAAGGTGAACGAGAAGTGAATAATGACTGATGACCCTTTGTTGACCCAAATAAGACAAACTAATTTTCAATTATCTATTTTAATAGAGGAAAGAGACAAGGATGTATTTTATTGGTCAACTGATTATATAAATAGATTAATCCAAAAAATATTTATATCGGGCTCTATCATACAGTCAGATACACATTTGGAAAGGGACAGAGACCAGTCTTTGGATGGTGTGAGGACCACAGTACACCTTGCAATAGGCCAGGGTTAAATTCTGATGTTTTCTAATTGTGAAGTTAATTACACCAATATTTATGAAGAGCTACCACCTGCTCAGTGCTAGGACTTCATGCTGAAACACACATGCTGATAAGTCTTTATCAGTAAAGAACTCACAACACAGAGGAGAAGTTGACTTATACACACAAAACAGACAAAATATCAAACACTATATAACCACCGAGTTTAAAACTGCCTCATACAATTGGTTACAGTGGTTCCAAAAAGTGGGAAACAGAGACTACAATCACATCACAAGAATTGAAGATGACTAGTGAGATCCGAGTTGGATTCTGAAATGAGATATATCACAGGGAAATAAGACAATCTGGATTATACAAACAGGTATTAATGAAAGTGGGAATTCACTTGGCACTAAATGGGTCATAAGGAAAACAATCTGCCAGAAGTAGAGCCTGCATGTAATAACGTCAGGGGATTGAGCCTGAGTCCCTCATAGTAACAGGGAACATACCACACTGGAGGTTCTTGAGAGTGGCAGTGACATGACAGAAAATGGTACTCAGGAACATTATTTGATATTCGAGCTGATATGGAAAAAATAAACTCTGAATGCAAGGAGAGGGTTATTGCAGCAGCCCAGGTACGAGGTGACTGAGCACACAATCTACCGTAAAAGCACTGAGTGAGGGGACGTTTGGGAGAAAAAGAGTGAGACGGTGGACCTAGTGATGGATTGGACAAAGAGGACTGCTGAAGAGTCAGGAAATCACGACGGTTCCAGAATGGTATCGTGGTGATGCTGGGACGTGTTCCCTACCACGTTAAAGTTAAGCCAGCTAGTGGAATTCATTCAGCCGTGCTTTTCTGGGGCTTTTACCAACCACTATGATAGGATGGAATTTTCACAGAAAACTCACAAATAGTGAAAAAGTGTCAAACTACTGCAACAGAACCACAAGATCACAGTAGCAGTATTTACAAATACCGGGAGATACTCAAAGGCCACACACACTACAGATTCTGAAACGCAAGATATTTGGGGGAAAGACATACCTCTAGTCCCTCTTTTGGTTCTGGGTCTAGGATAGAGACCGTGGTTCGGGTCTCTGTTTGTCCATCTTTGACCGAAGGGCTGGGTCACGGCCAAGTGACTGCGAGCCAGATGTTGGCAGTCGACGGCTGTAAGATGCTTCCGCTTAAACGGTCTCACTGTTTTGTATCAACAGGCAGAAGAAATGGGACACTTGTTAGTTATCACCAATTCTACAAGCTAGCAAGTTAACCTTAATTTTCAGGAATACAGTGGCTGTGGGCCACCCCAGCCAGCCCTTTCCCTCTTCCCCATATTCCCATCAACTTTCAGTCATTTTATAGTTTCTTTGCATCTCTTCCTTAGGATTTGAGAATCCTAAAATAAGATCCTAAAATAGCCTTCTTTTCCACCTATCACACTTTGTAGAAGCCCTGATCATGAAGTGCTCATTCAAAAAGAAGTTGCCACTAATGGATAAATGGAGATCTGGCAACTTTTCCTTGACTTTAGCCAGGCCATTTATACTATCATAATAACCATAAATATTTTAAGAGTTGGCTATAGCTTTTCAAAATATACTCATGCATTGTCCCCTGTATACACCAGCTTTTCCAAGTCTGAGAAGCAGAAGGCACTAAGCGGACAGTCACAGGAGATTTCCCACCCCTGCTGTATGTCTCTCCCCATGCACCCCACCCCACCCCATGCACCCCTCTCAGCCCCGAGAGCATCTCAGCATCGGGCACTGATGTAATAGGACAGGAGCAAGGCCCCCAAGTAGAAGAGAAAAGAGCCCACTTTTCAGCATCTTCAGAGGAGGAAATTTCATATTCTCCCTCAGCAAAACACTACAGCAGTGACTGTGCCTAGAATTCTGTCTCGAGAGTATTGAAATACTTTTGTTTATATTAGTCATTTTTCTGCCAGGTATTTTTTCATTCCTATTTCTGCATTTTATCGCATGTAAGATCTAACTACCTCCTTATGGCATTAAACAGAACAGTTACACTACTGTAAAACAGAATAGTTACACTTAAAAAAAAAAAGAGGACAAGAACAGATACAAGAGAATTAAAGTGACCCTTTAAGGACTTCCCTGGTGGCGCAGTGGTTAAGAATCACCTGCCAGGGCTTCCCTGGTGGCGCAGCGGTTGAGAGTCCGGCTGCTGATGCAGGGGACACGGGTTCGTGCCCCGGTCTGGGAAGATCCCACATGCCGCAGAGCAGCTGGGCCCATGAGCCATGGCCGCTGAGCCTGCACGTCTGGAGCCTGTGCTCCACAATGGGAGAGGCCACAACAGTGAGAGGCCCGTATACCGCAAAAACAAACAAACAAAACAACAAAAAAAGAATCACCTGCCAACGCAGAGGAGATGGTTTTGATCACTGGTCCAGGAAGATCCCACATGCCGCGGAATATCTAAGCCCACGTGCCACAACTACTGACCCTGCACTCCAGAGCCCGCGAGGCACAACTACTGAAGCCCAGTGCCTAGAGCCTGTGCTCTGCAGCAACAGAAGCCACTGAAATGAGAAGCCCGTGCACCACAACGAAGAGTAGCCCCTGCTCCCCACAATTAGAAAAAGCCTGTGCACAGCAACAAAGACCCAACGCAGCCAAAAATAAATAACATAAATAAAAATAAATTTAAAAAAAATAAAAACGTGACCCTTTACAGGAGATGGTCAACAGAGAAATCAGTTCCTGCCAGTACCGTATTTTCAGATGCTAAAAATACTCCAGTAAACTGTAGTATCAAATGCCAGAATCTCACTCAACATTTCCTGTAAGCCTGAAAACTTCTGAAACCAAGACACCACTGAGTATATCTGATACAGTTTATAAACTTAATAACTCCCCTCAGCCCTTAGCTTCTTCAGAAATGATCCTTCCAAATTTCAGTTTATTCTTTCAAGGTTTAATGGAAGTTTAAAAAAACTTCATGGATATTTCAAGACTTTTTAAAAATTACTTCTACACACAGAAATAGTTCTACAGGCCCCTCTGAAAGGACGCTAGAGACCTGTTCACTACCTGAATTCAGAGTTACAATGCAGTGGTATAACTCTTAAGTCATGAAGAAGTACTTAAAAATATGCTCAGCCGGGCTTCCCTCATGGCGCAGTGGTTGAGAATCCGCCTGCTGATGCAGGGAACATGGGTTCGAGCCCTGGTCCAGGAAGATCCCACATGCCGTGGAGCAGCTAAGCCCGTGTGCCACAACTACTAAGGCTGTGCTCTGGAGCCCATGAGCCACAACTACTGAAGCCCACGCGCCTGGGGCCCATGCTCCACAACAAGAGAAGCCACCGCAATGAGAAGCCCGCGCACCGCAACAAAGAGTGGCCCCCGCTCGCCGCAACTAAAAGCCGACATGCAGCAACGAAGACCCAACGCAGCCAAAAATAAATGAATTTATTTTAAAAAATGCTCAGCCGGATAAAAGCAGTGTCACATAGTGAGGGAACAGTGGACTTAAAAGGAAAAAAACTGGGTGTGAGCCCTAAGTTGGCCACATAGTGGCCGGAGGACCCCTGGTCACTTAGCTTCTCTAAGACTCAGGGGCGTTACAATGATTAAATGAGAAAACACACTCCAAAAGACTTGTTAAACTATAAAACCCTACACAAATATACACATCTGCTTATTGTGTTAAACAAAGCTTAGATGTGACTGATTTGCATAAAACATTGAAATAACTTTCAAATTATAAAGATGTCACCTAATGGCAAGACATGAAGTATATCAGCAGTCCAATTACAGCCTACTCTGTATTACTGAAAATACCTTTTAAAAAGCCAAGGGACTTCCCTGGTGGCGCAGTGGTTGGGAGTCCGCCTGCCGGTGCGGGGGACACGGGTTCGAACCCTGGTCCGGGAAGATCCCACATGCCACGAAGCAACTAAGCCCGTGCGCCACAACTACTGAGCCCACGCACCTAGAGCCTGTGCTCCGCAGCGGGAGAGGCCACCGCAATGAGAAGCCTGTGCAATGCAACGAAGAGTAGCCCCCGCTCGCCGCAACTAGGGAAAGCCGGCGCGCAGCAGCAAAGACCCAATGCAGCAAAAACTAATTTAATTAATTAAAAAAAAAAAAAGCCAAGTCATATATCTTAATTACTTATTATGAACAAAGAAATCCCCTCCACTATAATGGTTTTATAATTATTTTGTTGTTGAACATATTCCTCATACTTACAGAGGCAGAAAAAATGAATGTGCAGTTTTTCTATGTTAAAACAATAAATTTGAAAATTTTCCACATTAAAAAAAAAGCTTGAAATCTGATTATTCTTTTTAAAAATAAGACACAAAAGTTTACCTCTTCTGCTCAAAATTCTTCATATTACAAAGCCAACAACCTAATTGCTATTTTGTCTGAATGGGGACCTCTGGGCTGACTGGCAGAAGACACAAGGAAGCTACAATGGGCCTTGCAGAACAGAGTTGGCCCTTGGGATCCATGAGTTCCGCACCTGCGAGTTCCACCAACTGCAGATGAAAAACACCAACACCTGTGGTTGGCTGAATCCGCGGATGTGGGATCCACAGGTCCCTGTCCACAGGGTGGACTCTGAGGGGCCTGAGCCCTCTCAGATTTTGGTGCCATAGGGGGTCCTGGAACGAATTCCCTGCAGAAACCCTGGAATGACTATACTGACGAATACTGGCCCCTAATTCAGGTGCTCCAAACACACTTGGGTCAACTACAGAAGCAGTTGAAGAATTCCAGCCGATAAACCCACTAACCCTGTAGATTCCAGATATGAGACTGATCTCTGCTTTCTCTTCAAACATTCCCAACTGTTTCAAAGCTGGCAAATACAGTGTCCAGAATTAAAACTGGAAACAGTCTAGAAAAATTATCAACAGACAGCATCTTATTTAAAGAAGTTTCCATAGATAAAATCACAAACGAATAAGATTAACAATATCAAACCCTCAAATTCATATGACCCAGGACCTTGGCGCTGGTACAGACCTGCAGGAAGCATTCTACTTCCAGAGTCCTGGTACAGCCCAGAGTGGTCCTGCATGAAGCCATCACAGAGCAAAGGCTAGCAGCTGGGGACAGAGGTGCCCACACTGGGCCATCTGGCCTCTGGGTACCAGCACAGCCGCCTACACTGTCCATCTGGAATGGTCCTCACAGCCCTGACTGCTCATCTGGGAGGCAGAGCTAGCACTTTTACGTTCTTACTTTTCTGACTTCAGTGAGAGGTCAGAAACCGATACTATTCTTTCTGCCTCTCAGGTCTCTGCGAGATGAAGCGCTGTGACTCACTGCACGGGGAGCTGGGGCCCCCGCACCTGTCTCCAGAGTTAACAAGGCACTTAAGTCAAAGGCCGTGTGATGCACTCGGATCCGGAGCCGGGAGACCTCCTCCCTAACAGCCTTGGTCCCCTTCTCATCACAACGAGGACCCTGACAAGCTAACATGCAGAGTTAATACCACAGTCATGTGGTTTGAACCAGACAAGACAGATGAAAGTACCTAGCGACACCCATGCAGAGGCTCACAAAGCCCAGCAGCTCAGAATTACACGTGGACCACACTGTGCTGAGTCTCCTAAAAGATGCCTACATTTTAACAGCACCAATGTTCTTGTGAAGTTATTTAAAATTACTACAGTAAAATTCTAACCACCTTCTGTTCTTGTTAATATACTTCTAAACCAGCAGCTCAAATATAACTTTATCAAAATAAAGATGCTCAAATGCTACTTCTTGCTTCCCTGAGTCCCCAAACCTTGTGTTGCTCCTCCGTCCTCTGAGCAGTAGGTGCCCTTTGCATCGCTCTCCAAGGGCACTATTAGAAGCTGCTCGCGTTTCTTCAAGAAGCAAACTTAAAGTGGTCGGTGAGAAACGTGCACCGTTAAAGGGATGGAGGGAGATGACAACCAAACTACGTGAGGTCCCAGAGGCCCAGCGGAATCATCTCCAGGCCACAGTGGGTATCTGTACCCTTGGAGACTCCACCACAGTAACTAACAGAAATGTGTCACATCCCTCAGATGTGATGAAAGAAAAACACTGGAAAAGTATGAAAACCATTTGTCAAACAGAATTTTGCTCATTCCCACGCTGCTTTTTCTGTGATGGTCCTCTCACAGAGAGACGCCTCACCGGACCGCAGGTGCAGGTCCCGGCCTTGCATCTCACTCTGAGGTGGCG